ATGTGACAATAGAGGAATGTGGCCATTCACCAGGTCAGGAACCAGAAATGTTTGGAATTGCTGTCACTCAACTGATCAGTATGGGGCCTTTGCTCTACAATCTACTAGTGTGGGGTCAATAGCCCCTCATGGAATGCCTGGCACATGGCAGGTGCTTTAATAAATAATTGATTGGAGGGTGCAGCTTTTCTGTTCAGGCACTACAAAAATGTCATTATCATTGAGCATCCCAGTTAAGAGGGCCTGTAGTTGAATCTAGCATCCTTATTTTTCACTGGCTAATCTTTATCTGGGAAGGTAGGGTTCTGCCTTTCCCCAGGCTTTCTTCACAGGGACTGAAGACCTCCTTAATTCAACATATGCCACTTATGTGTGTACAAGGGCAAGAGGGAAGACCTTTGGGATAAAAGTGTTAATTGCTATTGGCTCTTAAAACAAGACAAAGTTCGTTAGAAACTCTACTGTTAACAATATCCCTTGGCTAATATCTCCCTTGGTGTTAACAGGTGATAAGCTTTAAAACTTCACAGCAACCACAGCTTGGCAACCTATCTTCAATATACTGATATATTCAAAATACCAAGGTTGGCAGAACGATAGAGAAATCAGTTTTCAAAAATATCACTAAAAGCTGTGCTGGTATGGTCCTTAACTTATTATGGAACTTTAAGAACTTGGGACTGAATTCCCCACAAACTTCAAGTTCATTAAATCTTCATCGTTCATTCCAAGTTCTAACACAATTTGAGACTTCAGCTTTGTCTAGATAGACAGCTATTTGAAGCCTTCCAGCTTTCTCAGTGGGGAGAGCCAAAATCCTTAAGCCAAAAGTCTTAACTGTATTTTGACTCATATTAGCCTAAGCACTGGCAAATGCTTCAGGTTTGTTTTGAGATGAATTCCAATTGTTACAGGGCTGTTGGTGGGTTTGTTTTTTTTTTAACTTCCTCTTACCAGTACAAGATAAGGAAGTGAGTCATGAGAATCCCTCATTCCTGCATCGTGGGGTCCCTGGAAGTAGTTTGAGATTTATAATCCCCTTTCTGATAGTTACTCCCCCTTTGACCTTACTCAACTCCTTCAATTTCTCTGGACTTTGCTGAATTATAAAAGGACAGGTCTAAACTACATAACCACTCAACTGCTATCCCAAAATCTATGGTCTTATCTCATTACAACTTTTTAACTCTCCTCCTGCCCAGACATGGGTATGATTCATAAGATGCCCTCTTTCTACCCCTCTGTTTTAAAGAACTACCTATGGCACCCCAACTTCAAGAAAGTCCTTTTCCTCATTCTCTTGGCTTTTTTTTTTTGAACATCCAAATTCAGAGACTTGATGTTTTCACAGGACGGGATGTTCTACAGCATAATCTTTTCTCCTCATGATATTATAAGTACTGCATCATTACCTAGCACCACTGCAGTTAAGACTGCCCAACTCTTGTCCCTTTTCCCCAAAAGGGATGCTTACAAGTGATCAACTGTCAAAAAATTTAATTCTCTATTCATAGAATTATGCATTATTATGAATATAATTTTTGATGCCAACTATTTTTCTTTGCTTTTCACTATATAATCAGGATCTTACTCTGGCTTTCTCATTGATGAGTACTATTGTTTAAGTGTAACTACTCAGCATGTGGTCTCTTCCTAACCATTGGCAATATTTTCTTTGATCCAAGTTTTCCCAGTTGGCTATCACACTACTGGGTGAGTAAAACATAGGTTTTCACTCTTTACTCAGACTTTTGGATTTATTATCATTTTCTGAGAGACATGATTTTTAGCTTCAAGACCAATTTTCCAGGCCAGCTGTTTTTTGTGGTAAAGCTCCTGCAAAGACACCTTCTTAAAACTTTGTTCTTTTGGCTTTGCTCTAATTCCTATAGTACCACTGACTTCTAACACACCAGCAGTTCCCTCCATTCTTTTTTTCAGGGTGTCCACTATTTTACCAAAGTTTTCCAGCTCCTACCCAAAGAAACCAAAGCTCTGGCTTCCTCAGCTCTTCTTTCAATTATAATCTGAGTCCTCCAGTAACTCTCTGGGAGGTGATGGCATTTGCTGCCTCTTTTCTTGGATCCTTGTTGTCGCAAAAATACTTTCTTCTGAAGATTTCTCCCACAATTCTATTAGCCCATGGGATTTCTTTGTTCTATGAGCAATTCTGTTTGATCATCATTAACTCAGTCTCTCTGCTGCATTTTCTCCCTTTTTAAAGAAGTTTTAGAATTGTATAAATGCATCTCTATTTTGGATACATGTTTAGCTGTTTGCAAGTAGTGAGTAGAAAGGCTTATACATAGCCTTTCACTTTAGCCATCATGCTACAATTTCCTGAAAAACCTGTTTGCAACCAAGTTCAGCTAACTGGTCCCTCACCTCCTATGAACTACAAAGAGGGATGTTGGCTGGACCAGGTTATCACAAGAAATAGACACAGTTAAAAAACAAAATAATTTTACTTAAAACAATAGCAATAATAAAGAAGTCTGCAGGCAAAGGGCATCAACAGCTGCTATTGAACATGATCAATACAGAGCTCCCTCCCCTGAGTCCTAGTATCTCTGTACTTGGGACACAGGACCTTTATTCTCTGCATTTCTCACATTTTACACAAAACCTGAAGAGCCCAAAATATGAAGGAGAAAGAGTACCCTCTGTGCTCTAGGTGTTCTTATTCTAGGATCTATATGCTTTTTCCATTATTTTTATAATTATTTCAATATAGGTGGTTTCCTTTGTAATACCAGTCATTTTAAGCATTAAAAATATTCTGAGACATAACTATAGATATTTCACCAGGCTGCCACCAAGGTCCATGATACAAAAAAGTGAAGAACCCCTGCTCTAGGACAAAGCTGGCTGTCATCCATCCAAGCACTCTTTAGTGGCGAGATGGTAGGTCCAATATAACTGACATTCAGATGCTATTAGTTTTCCAAGTTATGGCATAACTTGTGTGCAGCCAGCTTGAGTCAACTTTATCTCTTATTTTCCTGTATATCTTATTCTAGGATTTTTTTTTTTTGGCTAGGCAATGGGGTTAAGTGACTTGCCAAGGGTCACACAGCTAGTAAGTGTTATGTGTCTGAGGCTGGATTTGAACTCAGGTCCTCCTGAATCCAGGGCCGGTGCTCTATCCACTGCGCCACCTAGCTGCCCCTCTAGGATGTACCTTGAGATGATCCCAAGACATTCTACTTACTTTCCATCATCTCATATGTAAGTTTCAACCCATTAGTCTAGCCCTTAGTATTTTTTCCCTAGCCCAGGATTATTTTTGAGCCTTGTCATATTTAAACAATGTAACAGAAGTTAACATAATACTGATCATTAAAGAGCCCTTACAGATAATCAAGACCAGAACACTGTACCATGAAAATGGGAGAAAGGGACAATTGTGGTGACACTGTTTATATTCTGCTGTTTTGGCCTAGAAATAATATCCTGACCTTGTGCAAATTTCTAGACCTAGTTCCTTTTAATCATGTTTTCAATACTGGGTAAAATTTAGTTTTGGAAATGTGAGTTCACACAGTACTCTTCATATTAACTAAAGGGTACAGTAGTCAAGCTGATGGTCAACCAGATGATCAAGGAAGAGAAATCGCTGAGTTTTCACAAATCCTGCCATTTGTCTCTACCACTGCACCATGCTTTCCTGGAATGCATTCAAGAATTAATGTGCCACTCAGAACCATGACTACAACTTCACTGTCTTTGATGAGCACTCCAGTAAGAAACCTGCTGAATCCTCTCCCTTTATTAGCCAGTTGCTGCTGCATTAGCTTTTAGTACGAGTTTGTTTTCTAATTTAGTGAATCTACTTCTCAGATACCTGAAGCAATGTGTAATTCAAAGGCAAAAACAGGTTCTTGATCAAATAAGGAACCTTTAGTGGATTCCACCTTATATAGTCAATTCTACTGTTTATAATCATTGCAAAAGATCAAACAATTGACACTGGTTCTACAGACTTAATTATCACACCTCTAAGAGCTGACATTGATACAGTACTTTACAAAGCATTTTATACGATCATCCTATTTGAATCTCACAACAACACTGTAACATCTTCCCACAGACAATATTATCACCATTTGACATGAACAAAACCATCTCAAGTTATTGTTCAAGGTTGTCTCCCTGACTCAAAGTCTAACAAACACTCTAGCCAGTTTCTTCATTTTCTGTGAAATATGGCTAACCTCTGACAGGGTTTTGAGGTGGAAACAAGATAAGGTCTATAAAGCACTATGCAAACTTTAAAGCTCTCTATAAATGCCAGGTATTAGCAGCAGCATCACTTCTTATATCTAGCAGGCTTCTCACTCCGAATGTTATTCATACAGGACAAGCCACATAATCACCTTAAAAGATTTCAAACCAAACATTTGCAGAAGTCAAAGAAGAGCATTATAGGATGTATCACCATAAAGTAGTGGATAAGTAGAACTTTAAACAGCTATTAAAACACTTAAGGGGAATCCACTCATTCTTTCCCATGGTCCCAGATCATGTACATTCCCAAAAGGTCCATGCAATCTGCAATCCAGTTTCTAATAAACAGATCGAAGTTCATCATTTTCAATTCAGACAACAGGGACAACAGGCTTTTCTGAACTGAAAAATCACGAATAATAGCAAATCAACAGGCACTGTTCAATCCTTGTGCTAGTACTAATAACTCTTCCCCTAAACACTGCAAAATCACCATTTAAATCTTTTGATATTTTACATATCTTCAAATTTTATTATTAGCACTGTTTCCAAAAGGTGTGCTCTGATCTTGACGTCCACAAAGGAGGCCTTGACTGCAAAGTCATTCTTTCCTTCTCTCTGGTTGTGGTGCCCTTCAGGTGGGGGAAGGGAAAACTTATCTTAAAAATGCTTATTATCGGGGCAGCTAGGTGGCGCAGTGGATACAGCACTGGCCCTGAAGTCAGGAGTTCAAATTTGGCCTCAGACCAAACACTTGACACTTACTAGCTGTGTGACCCTGGGCAAATCACTTAACCCCAATTGCCTAAAAGCAAAACAAAAATACAAAAACAAAAACAAAAGCTTATTATCTATTCATTCAATTAGGTGAGTTGAATCCGTTAAGTTTAAACATTTGTCACTTAGTAGCTACAGGAAAGCTCTTCTGCAAGCAAGGGGGAAAAGAGTAACACAATAACATCTGTCATTGATGTAGAACTTCAGACTTTACAAAGATTCAATCATCAAGTAATTAAGCTGCTGGGTGAAACTTCTAGACTGACAAAGTTGTTGTATTGGTCCAGTTTTCTAAAATGGTTTATCTTATCCAGGCAGGATATAGCAGAGTAGGTAGAACTAACCTTTGAATCAGGAAGATCCAAGCTGAAATTTCACCTCTGATTATATTGGCTGTAAACCCCACCCTACCCCCATGGAAAATCATTTTACTTCTCAGAACTCTAGGCAATGTTCAAAGGTGCCCACCTGAAATGATACAGTAAATTCTCTCATGTGAAGTTCTGGATCAATGAAATCAGATTCAATCCATATCTTCATATTATCTATCATGGTCTTAACCTACTCTGATCTTGGTACTGCTTACTATTTCTCTGCTCTTTTCTAATTTTGTTCTTCTAGTCAGGTATCTTTATTTGCTACTTCTGCATTCCAGAGCTTGCTCTGTATACACACAACTCACTAAAAGCAATGCTCCAAAGCTGTAAAGCTGTTTTTGTCTATGCCTGCTTAGTTAGGAAGGCCAAAACACATCTTCAGAAACAGAATTCCTATGAACTTAGGATCTTTTCTCTTTAACAACAGAGCATCGTGGAAGATTTTGCTCAACAGCATATTCTAACAGATTGTTCTTCGAAAATATATGAAAATATTAAGCATATTTATTAAGCACACGGTTAAGAGATAATTTGATTCACAATGAAGTATCAAATCATGGTTCATCAAACTGAGAACTGGCTCACTGAATAACTACTTTTATGAGAAACTTAGTTTTAATAATAACTTCCAATAGTAAGCAATACAGTGATAGAATATTAGAGAGAAGTGGTTGCTGCCATTTGAAATAAGTAAAGGAGGATAAGACTGAGTAATAAAAATACCTTTCTCAGGTTCAACTGGACTATTCTTGTGCTGAAGAGAGCTTTAAAATTCCTGGTTAGACAGGAAAAGGGGTGTTTGTACTCAGCTCACAGAAACATGGCCATACATTTCTGAGACTACAGTTCCAATTGTCTTGACTTTCTGGAAATTTTCTTTCAGCAAAAGTAGTTAACCCTCTTCCCTCCTCATATGTAGAGTTAAAAGGCTGATAACTTTCTAGGTATTTTGCATTTGGTAGTAGCTTGGCAAAGAAAGGGAGAATGAATCCTAAGCTAAATTAGTTCTTAATACACTGATTCATACATATATTTGAACTACAAACTCAGATGCATGTGTCACAACACACACAGAATAGGTTTAATGTGGAATCATAGAAGTATCCACAACAATCACTTGCCAGGAGGCAGATACCCAGGTGTCTCTTTAGACAACTATCCCCAATACTTGTTTTGTTAATAGAATGATTCCAGCTACTTTTTTCAAGTCCACATCAAAATTCCAGCATCTGTGAAACTAAGCTTGAAAGTCATTAAGAGTCAACCAAATTCTTTGGGGAAGATCCATATGTCCACAGGGGAAGATCTTTGGATTGTTGAAGTTCAGTTATCACTTCCTGTTAGCATTTTTTTTAAATGCTATTCTATATTCTCTTCAATCAAATCGCCTTATATTCATAACAGGTATTTCTCCAGGGAAAGTTCATGACTCTGAACTCCCTACAAGTCTCATCTCATGGGCTTCTATTTTTCAAATGCAAAAATAGAAGAAAAAAGTATAAAAGCTTTCTTAAACCCATGTTGCTATATCTGCCATATCACTCATTCCAACCCTCTCGTTGGTTTTAATTGAGTCCCTGAGAGATACTCTTTCATCATAGGATTCTATAGATGGAGTGAAAGTAAGGGCTTTGAATGGGTCTACCTATTTTGGCTTCCAGCAATTTTCAAGCAAATCATCCAGCCCACTTTTCAGGCATATGGTATAGTAGATTCTTGCTTAGGCAGCATTTGTTGCCACATGCCAGATTCTGTGCTAGGTAACCAGAGACAAAAAAAAAATTCAAATAGTCCTTGTCCTCAAGTACTTTACATTCTACTGGTATGAGATAGACTGTGATCGCCAAGTTCCCTCAAAACTCTATAGTTTTGGTGATTCTGTAAGTTCTCTGAGTTGTCTTAAATGATGTGCTATTGCTGAATAAATTCCCACAGGTTACCTTCCCATTCTCTAAAACATGAATTTTCTGAAGGTACAAAAGGAATGAGTTGTCACTAGGAGTTTCCCGTATTTGTTTCATAGATACTGTTATTCTTTAATATGACATTTCTTATGATTCCTAAAAGATGAGCTGTGACTGAAGGTTTTCCCACATTCATTACATTCTAAGGGCTTCTCTCCAGTATGAATTCTCTTATGTTCAGTAAGACTTGTTGGATAACTGAAGGCTTTCCCACATTCATTACATTCAAAAGGTTTCTCTCCAGTATGAATCCTCTTGTGCAGAGTAAGTTGTCTTTTCTCTCTGAAGGCTTTCCCACACTGATTGCAATCAAAAGGTTTCTCTCCAGTATGAAGTCTTTGATGTGTCCTAAGGTTTGAGCTATTGCTGAAAGCTTTTCCACATTCATTACATTTAAAGGGTTTCTCTCCTGTATGAAGTCTCCAATGCATCATAAGGTTTGAGCTGTTACTGAAGGCTTTCCCACATTCTTTACATTCAAAAGGCTTTTCTTCTGTATGAATTCTCTTATGAGCCGTAAGACCTATCCTGTGGCGGAAGGCTTTTCCACACACATTACATTCAAGAGGCTTCTCTCCAGTATGAATTCTCTTGTGTTCAGTAAGACTTGCTATATAGCTAAAGGCTTTTCCACATTCATGACATTCAAAGGGTTTTTCTCCCGTATGAATTCTCATATGTTCATTAAGTCTTCCTCTCTCTATGAAGGCTTTCCCACATTCACTGCATGCAAATGGTTTTTCTCCAGTGTGAATCCTTTGATGCTTCATAAGCGATGAGCTTCTGATAAAGGATTTCCCACATTCACTACATTCAAACTTTTTCTCTCCTGTATGAATTCTCCAATGAAGTTTCAAGGATGATCGGCTACTGAAGGCTTTCTTACATTCATTACATTCAAAAGACTTTTCTCCAGTATGTGTTAATTGATGTGTCCTAAGTGTTGAGCTTTGGCTGAAGGCTTTTCCACATTCACTACATTCAAAAGGTTTCTCTCCTGTATGAATTCTCTGATGTTCAGTAAGACTAGTGGTATAGCTAAAGGCCTTTCCACATTCATTACATTCAAAAGGTTTCTCTCCAGTATGAATTCTCATATGTTCTGTAAGTCTCCCTCGCTCTATGAAGGCTTTCCCACACTCAGTACAGGAAAAGGGTTTCTCTCCAGTATGAGTTCTCTGATGCTTTCTAAGTGTTGAACTTGCACTGAAGCATTTCCCACACTCATTGCATTTGTATCGTTTCTCTCCAGTATGAAGTCTCCGATGATATCTAAGGGATGAGCTGTGGCTGAAGGCTTTTCCACATTCATTGCATTCAAAGGGTTTCTCTCCAGTATGAATTCTTTTATGTTCAGTAAGTCTTACTTTCTCTATGAAAGCTTTCCCACACTCATTGCACACATAGGGTTTCTCACCTGTATGAATTTTTTGGTGGCCTTTAAGTGAAGTGCTTCTACTGAAAGATTTCCCACATTCATTACATTCATGTCTATTTTCTCCAGTATGAAACCTACAATGATCTCTAAGGGATGAGATGTAGCTAAAGGTCTTCCCACATTCTTTACACTGAAAGGGCTTCTCACCTGTGTGAATTCTCTTATGTGCAGTAAGTTTTCCACTCTCTATGAAGGCTTTCCCACATAGATTACAAACAAAGGGTTTCTCCCCAGTATGAATTATCTGATGCCTCCTAAGTGCTGAGCTCTGCCTGAAGGCTTTCCCACATTCTTTACATTCAAAAGGTTTCTCTCCTGTGTGAATTCTCTTATGTTCAGTAAGACTTATTGAGTATCTGAAAGCTTTTCCACACTCATGACAAACAAAGGGTTTCTCTCCAGTATGAATTCTCTTATGTACATTCAGTTTTGCCCTCTGAATGAAGGCTTTCCCACACTCACTGCATACAAAGGGTCTCTCTCCAGTATGAAGCCTCAGATGTCCTTTAAGAGACGACCTGGTGCTGAAGGCTTTGCCACACTCACTACATTCACATGTTTTTTTCCCAGTAAGTTTTCTATGATATTGAATAAGATCTGAATGGTAACTGAAGGATTTCCTGTATTTATTGGATTTAGAAAGTTTCTTGCCAGAGATTTTATGACACTTGAGAATGCCTGAATACTGCTTAGAGGTCTTTGCACTTCCTCCATACCCATGAAGATTTTTTCCTGAGGCAGCTCTCTGCTGTGGAACAGATAATGAAGCTGAACTGAGACTTTTCCCAAATATGCTGCTTTCATGGGTGACTGTCATTTTCTTAGACTTTCTTTGCTGGTTACCCTTCTGCCTCTGTAACGTAACATCACATTCCGAGTCATCTCCCAATATGGCATTACAAGATCTATCCTTTGTGAGTATTTCTTTGGATGTTTCTCCCAGAGAAACAGCATGCTTCGGAATTGATTCTGTGATTTTATGCCTAGTATTCTGAATAAGAGAATCTAAAGAAAACAACAACAACAAAAAGTTACTAAAGTCTTTCCCACATTCTTTACATTCAAAAAACTTTTCTTTTTATGAATTCTCTTATGAGACACAAGACCTATTCTTCCACTCACATTACATTCAAGGATTTCACTGCTCCGTGAAAGGCAAAACAGAAATTGCTTTCCAGGAAGGAAAAAGAACACAGATTTGCAAACTACAGAACAAATATGTTTGAGATAAATGAAGCTCAACCAGCTGAATGATTTAAACAAAGACTAATTCTACAAAGCTAAATGAATGTCATTTGCCTATATTTTTTCTCTTGGCTTGTCCTTTTATCTAAAACATATATTACATTTACAGTCTTCTATCATCTTAGGATCACTGCTGGCACCAACAACAAAAAAATTTAAATTTGCATAAAGAGGAAACAGATTGATTGTACAAATTACGGACTGGCAAACCTGATGCCAGTTTCTCATAAAATTCTAGTCTTAAACAGATGAATGGTTTTGTAAATACTGAGAAAATAAAGCAATGCCCACTAGGAATAAGATGTGCCAAAACCCCCACATTTCTTATGTCCCTTTAATAACAAAATTTTAACAACTAATTGATTAAGAGATAGCAGACACTTTGGGCTTTTAGATTTTGGCAACATTTTCATCAAAATCTTTCAAGATATCACTGTGACAATGTGGACAAAACGAAGATTTGTCTGTCAAGTTATAATGCAGCAAGATGAATGAGCACAATGTTAAAAGTTGATTAAAAGACATGGTGTCCAACTCACAGAGAGTAAAAACCTCACTGTACACTGTACTGGTCACATTACTCTGGAAGTTCCAAATCCAGTTCTGGGTACCACCCATGGAAGGGAACATTAAACAGCTGGAATGGGCAAAGAAGAATCTAGCAGAATGGTGAAGAACTGGAAATGGTATTACTGGAGAAAGGGAAAATGAACTAGAAATGTGTAGCCAAGAGAATAGAAGACTCAGACAAGAACATGGCTACGTGAAAGGCTCTCAAGGCATTAAATACCATCAGTTTTGATAAAGAACAAAACAAAACCAAAGTCATAGGAAGGAAGATTTTTATTCCAACAAGAGGGAAGTCCACCATAATAGTAAAAGTTACGCAAAATGGAATTTGATATGTTAAAAATTTGGGGCCTCCTCCTTGCTTCATTTAAGTATTCAAACAGAGGCTGGATGTCTACATAGCAGAGGTATTGTAGAGTGAAGCCCTGCATTAGGTGAGAGGATGAAGGAAATGATTTCCAAGGCCCCTTCCCACTTGGAGATTCCATTATTCTAAATGCTTTACAGTTATGGAAGAGGCAGCTAGGTAGAGCAGCAGATAGATGGGCCTGGAGTCAAGAAGACCTGAGGTAAAATCTGACTTCAAACACTTACTAGCTGTGTGATCTAAGCAAGTCCTTTAATCTAAGTGCCTCAGTTCCCTTAACTGTAAAACAGGCTTTTTTTTTTTTACCTTTGGGGTTGTTATGAGGATCAAATGAGATAATAGAATTTGTAAAGCACTTAGCACAGTGCCTGGTACATTAACAGGCACTTGATAAATGCTTATTCCTTTCCCTCCCTTTTTTTTTTGTTTTTATTTTTTAGGCAATTGGGGTTAAGTGACTTGCCCAGGGTCACACAGCTAGGAAGTGTCAAGTGTTTGGTCTGAGGCCGGATTTGAACTCAGGTCCTCCTGACTTCAGGGCCGGTGCTCTATCCACTGCGCCACCTAGCAGCCCCTCCCTCCCTTTTTTCCATCATTTAAGCATGTCTGAAGATTCAGGAGAGAAACATAAAAACTGTAGCATAGTGAATTAATACTAAATTTAATGTTGGAATATAAGCCCCAATTCTGCCATTTACAAGCAATGTGACTATAGAAAAGAATTCAATAATTTTAGCAACATTTTTTGTAGTAGCAAACTGATAGAAACAAAGAGAGCACATCAATGAAGGAATAGCTGAACTGATGGCACATGAATAAAATGTTTTCTCTTTAATATTAAATATGTCTCACTTTAAAAAAAATCTGTCCTTAGCACCAAAAAGCATCATATACCAAACAGAACAGAAAAAGCATGATGGCAGATGACATAGCAAGTCTCTTTTACATACCCCTTCCTTTTTAAGAAACATATACATATGTCTATATATACATACATATAATTTAACATGCTACTTTCAAAGCTGTCCTGCCTGCCTAGGCTTCCTTCTGAACCTCTGATTCTCTTGTGCATTTTTCTCTTAAATACTACAATGACCTCCTTTCCTTTCTTTTCCTTTTTTGCTTAAGAATTATGTTGTGGTAAGAAACAATGTTTTGAAGAAGTTAAGGAAACTTGGAGAGGATTTCAAGGAATTATGACGGGAGTAGAACCAGAAGAACAAACTATAATGTAAAAAAGAAAATAGCACTGAAAGATATATCAGAGAAAATACAGGAACCTAAGATCAAAGGCCACTCTCCAGTGTGAACTGAACTGAACTGAGCATTCAAGAAGAGAAGACCACCACACAGGGAGGACAAGGAAGGACGGAAGTAAAAGCGGTAAAATCAGACGACTTCATTTGGTGAGACCTGGTATGAGACATGAAGTGACAGAGACAGCAAGAAAATCGATTTACTGAAACAAAAAATTAAGGCATGTCAGAGATCTCATGTACCTCCTGGGTAGGCAGAGGGAGGAGCACACATCCACTCACCTAGACAAGGGCTTCTGGGTACTTCTCCCTCAGGCATCCACGGCATTTCACCTTTCTCCAGTTGGGAGATCACATCTGGCTGAGAACCTAAAAGCCCTACTCACAGAGAAATAAATGGAGAAAACTGCTGAGAATAGAGAGATAGCTCATGTTTCAATCCCACAACTCTTTTCTCCTTAAGGAAAAGGGACACAGTAGGGAAGGCAACAGTGGGGTGGACTAAAGACCTCTACAGGATGCTACCTATCATTGTCGTAGGAAATAATGGGGGGATGGAAGAGGCCATGGGGGCAGGGGTTAAGATCTGATTTAAGCTCATAAAGAAAACTGGTTCATTTGACTCACTCGTTAAGTTAATGGGAACCTTTCACGTCTTAAGGTATCATCTACCTTGGGACTTTACAGGACAAGCTAAGACCTGGGGAAAACCAAAGATGTTGCCTTATGGGATGCACAGTGGAGACACAAGCTTTCCAGTTTTCTTTTTTAAAAGTCTTCACTAGGGAAGAGACAATAGAAATGTTTTGTTTGCCATAAAGAATTCAGGCAGCTCCCTCTATGATGAGGATTCTTGAACCGCCCTGAAAACTGAACTAAAACTCAGCTGAGTGATTCAGATGTTCCACAGCCTAACGTTGGCAGATGAGAATGCACACACAGCCCCAGGCACTGATTCCCAGCAGAACACCTCCTTACCCAGGAAGACTAGGTTCTTATAGTTCTCCAGCATCACATCCCTGTACATATCTCTCTGAGAGGGGTTCAGCTGTCTCCACTCCTCCTTGGTGAAGTCCACAGCCACATCCTTGAATGTCAATGATTTCTGAAACACAAACATTTCTGCTCATCTGGGGACCAACCGTCTCCTCCAAACCACAGAAAAGACATGAAGCTGGCAAAGTGAGCACGAGAGGTTCAGAGGGCGCTAAGCAGTTTAAATATTATGTGTCAAATATTTCCTCAAGCCTGTTTATTCTCCACACCAGAGACAGTGTTTCCCTTCAGACCACACCCTCTAACATGCAGACTATTGCATATAACTGCCCCAATTCATCCTTGAAAACTGGCTTACAAAGTGAGCCCCAAGCCAATCTCATCCTTTATTCCCAAACACCCCCAAAACCTCAAATTAACACCCCCAAACCCATCTATCTATAGAATCTGGCATACAATACTGACATCAATTGTCACAACACACATAACTAATTTCTAAGAAGCCACGTCACAGTAATCACTGATCCCCAAGTTTTGGGTAAAATCAGAAAACAGAGAATAAGCTGGGGGTGGGAGTGGGGGGCATTCTCCCTCTATTCAACCAGCAACATGGCCCTGCTCTCTCACCCAAACCACTGCTTTTCTTATTTGAGGCCCCCCAGCCAAAGTGCAGAATGTCTTCCTTTGATGAGCCTACAACACACAGAACAGTGAGGTGGGCGCTCAGGGAGACACAAAGTGTGCCACAAGATACACTACGGGGGAGGACACAGACAGCAGTAACAGGACCATAAAGGGATCCACACAAAGAGCATACAATGTTCGGGGCAGGGCCACTTCGATTTTTTTTTTTTGAAGAATACTCCTTCTAAATTAACACATTTCAGATAAGCACAGAACAGGAGAGGTGAAAGGACCCAAGGCCATCTAGCTCATCTCAGCCCTGAGAGGAAGCTCCCAACTACAACGCCCATGGCCTGTGTGAAGACGTACAGTGAGGAAACACCCCTTCCATCTTGAAGTAGTCCATCCCACTTTTGGACAGCTAGGTGATGCGGTGGACAGAGTGCCAGGCCTGGAGTCAGAAAGGCTCGTTCTCCTGAGTTCAAATCTGGCCTTAGACACTTACTAGCTGTGTGACCCTGGGCAAGTCACTTAACTCTGTCTCAACTTCCTCATCTGTCAAATGAGCTGGACAAGGAAATGGCAAACCATTCCAGGATCTTTGCTGAGAAAACTCCAAATGGGGTCATGGAGAGTTGGACACAACTGAACAATGACTGAACAACAAAAATTGTTAGGAAAATATTTAAGACATCAAGCTAAATCTGCTTCTTTGCAACTTCCACCCAGTGATCCTAGTTCCACCCTCTGGACCCAAATAGAGCCAGCTGAATCCAAGGGAGAGTCTTGTAAGCTATCTGAAGCCCACCACCCTCTCCCTCCCACCTTCACCCCCCTCACACACACACATACACATACACACACACACACACACACACACACACACACACACACACACACACACACACACACACACACACACCCCTTCTTTTCTACTGGCTAACCACTCACAGCTCCTTTAGCCTACTGCCACATAATAGAACTCAAGGCCTTCACCACCTGATCGCTGTCAAGCACACTTAGAGCTATGCCAGTCAAACTGCAAAGGAGACCTTTACACTTAGACAAAGTAACATCTGGATGAATACACTGAAAGTAATAGAAAAATGAGAGCTTGGCCCTTAGGGATCTTTAAACCATGATACAAAGCAGTAATTACCAAAAACCATCTGGTACGGATGAAAAGTAGAAAAGCAAATCAATTCTAAAGACTGCAGGAGAAGAAGGCTCTCAGACAACAAACCAAGAGATCCCCAATGACTGGGAGAAGGGCATTTCATCCCAGGCAGACAGGCTAGGAAATTCAGCTAGAAGTGTGAGAACTCGCCATTTAAAAAAAAAAACTACTGGGAAAACTGGAAAGCAGTCTGACAGAAACTAGGTGTAGACCAACACTGTATGCTACCTAATAATATGAACAACTAACATTTACAGTGTTTGCTCTGTGCCAGGTACAACGCTAAATGCTTTACTTCATATTAAGATCTTATTTGCTCCTCACAACAATCCTGGGACGCAGCTGCTGTTATTATCCCCACCTTACACATGAGGAAACTGAGGCAAACCGAAGTGAATGAAAAACCAAGATAAGCTCTGCATGGGCACATAATTCAGATGGAAAGGACAACATCATAAACAAATTAGATAGAGGACCAAGGAAAAAAATTACCTGTCCGATCTCTGGATGAGGGAAGAGTTTCTACCCAAAGACTAGAGATGATCACACAAAGGTTAAATGGGATAATTCTGATTACATGAAACTTAAAAGGTTTTGTACAAACAAACCAATACAACTAAGATCAGAAGAGAAGCAGGTAAATGGGGAAAAAATCCTTTGTATTAAGTTTCTCTGATAAGGGTCTCATTTCCAAGATATAAGGAATTAATTCAACTGTATAAGAGCCATTCCCCAATTGATAAATGGTCAAAGGCAGTTTTCAGGGGAAGCAATCCAAGCTATCAATAGGCAAGTGAAATCATGGTCTAAATCACCACCAATTAGAGAAATGAAAATCAAAACAACCCTGAGGCACTACCTCATACCAGTCACATTGGTAAAGTCAACAAAAAGGACAAATAACAAATGCTAAAGGAGTTATGGGAAAACAGTACATTAATGGTCTGGCCATTCTGGAAAACAACTTGGAACTATGCCTCGAAATTTACTAAACTGTCCATGCCCTCTGAATCAACAATACCATTATCGGGTCTATACCTCAAAGAGGTAAAAGGAAACAAAAGTATTTATCGCAGCTCTTTCTGTGACAGCAAAGAACCAGAAACTGAGGGGAGATGTTCATCAACTGGGGAATGGCTAAACAAGTTATAATATATGAACGTGATGGAATATTACTGTGCTGGGGTGGGTGTAGAGACACCTGGGAAAATCTGCATGAAAGGATGCAGAACTCTAAGATCAATTTATGTAACCCTTCTAAAAACAAACAACTGTGAAAGACTTAAGAGCTCTGATCAACACAATGACCCACCATGATTCCAAAGACTCAAGATGAACCATGCTGCCCACATCCTGACAGAGAGGTGATAGACTCAAGGCACAGACTGAGACACATGTAGATATAGATATAGATATACAGATATAGATCTCTCTGACACTCTCTCTCTCTCTCTTTCTGGTAATGTATACGAATTCATTTTTATCTCTTTTTCAAGTGGATAGCTTAGATTTCTTCCCCTGAGGGAAGAGAGAGGGAAAATAAAGCGGATTTGGAATAAATTGAAAAAAAGTTAATTTAAAATTAAAAAAATAGAACAGCTAGCAAAAATGAAAAGCAATTTGGCAGATAATCATAGACCTACAACTTATACTGTGTAATGCATGCCTCATTAAGTCTGTTTCCTTCTGTTAGCTTCTAAGACTGTTTTGAGAAAATCAATTTGCCATCTGTAATGCACTCCATAAGTGATTTGACTGTCAGCTCCTTAAGTGCAAGGATTGTCTTTTGCCTCTTTTCTGTATCCTCAGCGCTTGAGTTAAGTGCCTGGCAAATAGCAGGCTCTTAATAAACTCTTACTATTATTATATATATGGAACCAAGACGTCCAATGACCCTGAATTTTTTCTTCTTTTTTCTCGCTTTAAGTTTTGTTTCTTATGCCTTTATTTTAAGTTTCAATCAGTAGTTACCAGTTTCCAAAAAACACGTGTGTGCATGACCCTGCTCACTCCCTCCAAATGTCTCTTCATTGTCAAAGTCTGAAAGTGATACCAACATAGGTTTAGAAAAGCATCTACAAAAGATGCAAGTAATGGACAATTAATATAAAAGTGAAACATGGTCCTAAAGGAATGCTGTCAGAAGGACTGGAGGTCAGAATGAACTGACCATTCAAGGAACTCTGCAGACTCCAAACAGGCATCTTTTTCCCTTATACTAATATTAAAAATACAATGGATTTAAAATTTTGAGACTTTTATCCATAAGGTGGCATGAGACTAGAAGATCACTTTGGAATGGTGCTAGGAGATCTTCTGGAAGGCAGCAAGTCAAAAAGAAAAAGAAGGAATGAAATTAACCAAGCAGACTTCACCCCTGAGAAATTATACCTCCAGTTTTAAAGCCTTTCACAGCACCTGGACAATAATCACCTTTTGCTCTCGGGTGTGAAGTCTGCTTGGCTAACTTCATTCAGTCGCTTTGCCACCTGGCAAGATTCTTGAATGTACCATTAAAGGGATGACAGCAATGGAAGCAGGGATGACCAAAATCCAGGATGCGGCCTTGACATCAGTCACACCTGCATTTCCTTTTGTCTTTTATTCTGTAAATGGGATTCTTATTCACCAGCAGGATGATGCACACAGCCTCATGGCCTTTTCAACTCTGGGATTCTGAGAACACCAGGCAAGGGAACAATGCGGTGTCTGCCAATCTGCCCGGGCTCCTTCCCTACTGTCAAATCAGGGAGGCCGGATTCCCTCTGAGGAACACGCACGTGAAAATTCTATTAATGTCAAGTCATTCATCAGAATAGCCACGGCTTTCTGGGGCTGATTCCTGGCTGAGTCACGATGGAATCAAGGGCAAGAGAAAGAAACGTACACAAGGTCTAGAAGATGAGACAGCATTTCAGTGAAGAAAGCCCAACTCACCTGGGACCTGGCTGCCAGGAGCACAGACGCCATCCTTTCTTCCTCCTCTCGGCTCTTTTCTCGAGGAAGGCCTGAATTTTGAGAAAGCACAGCTATGAGACAAAAAAGAAGTCATAAAAAGCAATCCTGCATTGCAGCTCCCATATTCTCCAGGATAGAGTTCTCTACACACTAGTGAGATGTGAAAGCTCTTGATGGACTCAAGAGACCCCTCCCTATACTTCCCCCAAAATCAGAGCAGAGTATGCTACCCCTGGGGTCAAAACAGCTGCCAAGGGATGGAACTCAAATCTGGGAACTAGGAAACACTAATTACCTCACAGCCTTAGCCCATGGGCTCCATGACCCTCAGTGTACAAGTGAAGTTCACCTTGCCTGCATCACATCGTCATCTCTCTGAGACCTTCCCCTTCTCACAGCATGTGTGAAGAATCAATCTGCCGGTTCTTCAGAGAAAACCCTTTCACAGTATAAGCCCCTAATTCCTACTGCAGTCCGTGTGAGAGGGAGAGGGCCTGAATCTCCTGACTTCACGGACACAGGGAACTCCCCCTAGCAACGCAGCATTCTCTGAGCAACTTCTACCATTTCAGAGAGCTGCCCTGAGAATGGAGCAGCTGAGTGACTTGTCCAGGTGAGCAAAGGCAGTGTGCATCAGATGTGTGACTTGATTGGGCTACTATGTGGCGCAATGGAAAGAGTCCCGGGCCTGGAGTCAGGAAGACCCGGGTTCAAATCCAGCGTCAGACACATTTAGTGGGGGGGGGAGAGGCTCTAGGCCACTCTCTTCACCTGCCTGCCTCAGTTTCCTCATCTGTAAAATGAAGATAATAGCAGCAACATCCCAGGGTTGTCATGAAAATCAAATAAAATAATTTTTGTAAAGTACTTCTGAAAACACCCAAGTGCTATATAAATGCTAGCTATTATTATTGAACCCAGATCTTCCTGGCTTTCTGAGGCCAGGACCCCTATCTACTACATTCAGGCATACCTCACTTTACTGCACTTCACTTTACTGTGCTTTGCAGATATTCCATTTTTTACAAAGTAAAGGTCTGTCTCAACCCTGAGCTGAGCAAATCTACTGGCACCACTTTTCCAGCAGCACATGTTCTCATCATGTCTCTGTGCCACATTCTGGTTAATTCTTGCAATATTTCAAACTTTATCATTATTACCTGTTATGGTGATCGTGGTCAGTGAGCTTTGATGTTACTATCGTAATTGTTTTGGGGCACCACGGACTGTGCCCATGTAAGGCAAGGAGCTTAATCGATAAATGCTGTGTGTTCTGGTTGCTCCACCAACTGGGTCACTCCCCCATCTCTCCCTGTTCCCTGAACCACAGCAATATTGAAATCAGGCCAGTTAACAACTGCCTCTAAGTGCTCATGTGAAAGGACGAGTCAACCCACGTGGCAAACTTCACTGTCGTCTTATTTTAAGAAACTGCCACAGCCACCCCCTTGATCAGCCAGCAGCCGTCGACATTGAGCAAAAAGCTTAGGGCTGTCTGAAGGCTCAGGTGAGGGTTAGCACTTTTTAAGTAATAAAGCATTTTTAAATTAAGGTATGTAAATTGTTCTTTTAGACATACTCTTTATATACACTGAGAAACCAAAAAGTCTGTGTGCCTCTGTTTATTGAAATATCTATTTTATCGTGGTGGTCTGAACTGAACCCTCAGTATCTCCAAGGTATGCCTGTATACACTATTGCTTCTTCGTCTAGTCAGAACAGACTGGTGGAAATGGGACAGAAGGAGGCATAAATTGCCCTGGATTCTGGTTCCAGCTTTGCTACTAATGATCAGGCAGACGCTGGAATTCTGATACTTGAATTCCACCTTGCCAAACAGGGACTATGGCAATGCCTGCCTGACCCACCTACTGGCTCTCATGAAGGCACCACAAGGGAATGGATGGAAAAGAGTCTTGAGGAATGAAAGAGATGGATGGCAGAGACCCCCCAAAGTCAGGGCAGAAAACTGGAGGGAAGGGCTGTGAGGTGGGGGGAGCTAAGGCGGGTGAACTGAAGAGGCAACATTGGGCTGGCACAGAGATGGCAGGAAGGTTGGGACCACACTTCAGTGTTCCACAGGGAGGGGGAAGGTAGAGTGGGGAGGTTCCCCCCCCTCCCTTTAGAGATCTCTTCTCCTCCCACAAGGCACCATACACATGACCTCTTTCCCCTCCCCACAACCACACCGGTGTAATTCACTTTCACCGTTTCCTCGATGTCCCCCAGGCTGGAGGGTCAGAAATAGCCAGCATCAACAGCTCTATGATCCATTCCTCCCCACCAGCTTAGGCCCTGAAATCCCAAGAAAGGCCTTAGGGCAGGAAGGTCCTCTTTGAAAGGTTGGATGAAGTAACTCTGCTGACTTCACAGTCCCAGAAAGCTGTAATACAGGGATTCAAAAGCCAGGATTCTTTAGCTGGGGGCCTCAATCAACTATGTCTCTGATGCCCAGAGCCCAGGCCCAGGAGACTCTACCCACACGGAAGACTGAGGCCGGAGAACGGGCCAGGATGCCCTTCAGGAAGGAGCTAGAAGAGATCCTCAGGGTTGTGGCGAGGATCAAATGGGGTATTTGTGGAAGAGCTCCTAGCGGTGCCTGGAAGATGACAGGTGCCGGGCAGTAAGTGCTCATTCCATCCCTTCTCTTGGCTCTGGACATTCTTACCATCTGTGCCCCATGCCTAGAATGGTCTCGCTCCCCCCTCCTCATCTCCTTCCAAGTCCCAGAAAAACCCCCACCTTCTGCTGGAAGTCCTTCTGAGCCCCAGCAATGCCAGCACGTCCTGTTTATTCAGTTTATCCTGTGTAGAGCCTGCTTGTACATAGCTGTCTTCACGGTGTCTCCCCCCTCAGACTGTGAGTCCCTCAAGGGTTAGGACTGTCTCTGTACCCCAGCTGCTCAGCAAAAGGCTTGGGGCACTTAACTATTAGTCAGTTTATTAACTGACTGGCCAACCTTCCGTGGAGAATCTCTTCTCCATGCTAAGGATGGCGAATTCTTAGAAACCAGGCATGCAGAGTTCATCCCCCAGACGAAGCTGGAAGCCTTTTAACCTGGTGCTGGTGGCAGTATTGACATAGTGCATTCACTTTACAAACGTCATCTCCTTTCATCCTCACAGCAGCAACCCTGGGAAGCAAGTGCAGACAGAAGTTAAGTGACCTGCCCACGGTCACACAGACAACAAACGTCTGAGGCTATCAGGACTTGTTCAAGGGCATACTCGTAAGTGCAGCAGAAAGGACTTGTAAAGCCAGATGTCTCCTGACATGAAGCATGGCATTCTAACTAATCACAGTACACACGTGTACAGGCATACCGTAGAGACACTGAGGGTTCAGTTCCAGAACATCACAATAAAACAAATATTTCAACAGTCACACAAATTTTTTTGGGTTCTCAGTGTAGACAAAAGTTATGCCTACACGACACTGTAGTCTACTAAGTGCGCAACAGTATTATATCTAAAAGAACAATTAATCTTAAAATGCTTTCTTGCTAAAAAATGATAACCCTCACCTGGGTCTTCAGAGAGTCCTAAGCTTTTTGCTGGCAGAGGGTCTTGCCTCAGTGTCCATGGCTACTGACTGATCAAGGGGGTGGCTGCAGCAATTTCTTAAAATAAGACAACAGTGAGGTTGCCACGTGGATTGACTCTTAGAAGTCATTGTGGGGTTATTAATTGGCCTAATTTCAACGTTGTTGTGGTTCAGGGAACAGGAAAGGCCCAGTCAATAGAGCAACCGGAACACATATAGCATCTATTAATTAAGCTCAATGCTTTATACGGGCACAGTCTGTGATGCCCCAAAACAATAACAGCAGTAACATCAAAGACCACTCAACACAGACACTGCACCAGATATAAGAATAATAACAATAGTCTGAAATATTATAAGAATTACCAAAATATGACACAGACACAACATTAGCACATGCTGTTGGGAAAATGGTGCTTGACTCAGGGTTGGCACAAACCTTCAATTTGTTTAAAAAAAATGCAATAGCTGCGAAGTGCAGTAAGATGAGGGATGCCTGTATAGCCGTGCCTATATATTTCAAAAGGATTTGTGATTTCGTCAAGGTGGGTATTCCTGAGCTCACACAACCAACAGCCTCCTAGGGGGCCTCCCAGCTGGCCTCCCTGCCTCCAGCCTCTCTCCTCTTTAATTCATAACCCTGTCTCTCTCCACGCAGCAAAGCAGATTGGACCATGTCACCCCCCTCCCCCCAAACTCCAGCAGCTCCCTAGTACCTCCAGGAATATATTTACCTTCCTCTGCAGGGCATTTAAAGTTCTCCGAAGCCTGGTCCCACTCTCCCTTTCCAACCTCATTACCCCCCTGCACACAGCCTGTACTGGCCTTGCACAGGACCCCGTCTCCAGCCTCCAAGACTCTCCTTGACACCCAGGATGCTCCTCCTCCTCAAGGAATCACTGGTTTCCTTCAAGGTGAAGCTCAAGAGCCACCTGCTCCCTCCCCATCACCTCATATCTGCTTTAGACAGCTAGTTCATTACAGGACTGGGCCCGGAGTCAGGAAGACACGAATTCAAATCTGGCCCCAGGCACTTACTGCCTACGAGACCTCGGGCACACCACTTCAGCCTGCTTGCCTCAGTCTTCATCTAAAATGAGCTGGAGAAGGAAATGGCAAACACTCCAGTATCTTTGCCAAGAAAACCACAAATGGGGTCACAAAGAGTCCTGTGAGGCTGAACAATGACTGAACCAAACCGAACGGCACCTCCCCCCAGGGCTGCGAGGATCAGCTGAAATGATGTTTGTAAAGCGCTTCCCCAGTGCCTGGCACATGGGAGACGCTCTGTAAATGCCAGCTCTCATGGCTGTTGTTATTATTGGTTTCCATGTGTCGTCTGTGCACATTATCTCCCCCTTGAGGATTCAAGCCCCTCTAGGGCAGAGCCTACCTCCCTGCCTCAGTATCCCCCGCACCTGGCCCACCGCAGGGACTTCATAAACGCCGGTGGATGCCTGAGTTACTCCCGGGGGCCTTCCTGAGGCAGGGCCTGGCCAAGCTCGTCCGGCTGCTCCCAGGCCCGCAGTCTGGCCCCGGCCTGGACTTGAGGCCTCCTGGGTTGGGAGAACAGCCCTTGTGGGCCTAGACGGGCCAGAGGCAAACCCAAGCCGAGGCCAGGAGGGCCCCACGGGAAGCACCTGAAGAAGAAGCGCAGGGGGGGAAGCAGGTGAGAGGAGGGCAAGAGGCCTCACCCGGCCACACTGGAGGGACTTGTCCAAGGTCACACGGTCTTGCTGATCAGACCTGCAGAGGTGGCCGTTTCCTGCTCCAGATCGTTTGACAGATGAGGGAACTGAGGCAAAGCCGCGCTGCTAGTGCCTGGGCCAGATCCGAGCTCAGGAGGGGAACGCCAGGCCGGGCGCTGCCCCCTGCACCGCCCGGCCTCCCACAGCAAACAAAGGCCTGCATCCGAAGCTGAACCCAAGGAAGGAAGAAGGGGGCAGGGGCCCAGCACAGCTCATCCCCCCCCCCACCTCGGAACCCCTCCCGGAACAAAGAGGAGACCCCAGGCACGCCGCAGATCCCTTCTGGGAGAGGCACTCAAGGCCCCCCGGGTGGGGGGGGGTCTCTCCAGCTCCCAGCGCTGGGGAAGGCACGCAGGCCGGACTCCCTCCCCCAGCCACTACCAGATCAAAAAGAAACAACACCCTCCAGTACATACAGGTAAGGCGAGGGGTCAGGAAAGGCTGGGGGGCGGGGGTGGCGCCAGCTAGGTCCAAGAAGATAGGGACTGCTGGCATGGGGCAGGGGGCAGCCCAGGCAAAGGCCCGGAGGTGGGAAATGAGCGCACGCAGAGCGCCTCCCAGCGCCGTCCCTCTAGTCGCCCGCGGGCGCGCGCACGCAGGAAGCGGGGGGGGGATGGGAGCGCGCGCGTAGAGCCGGCGTTCCACTTCAGTGGCGGCGGGGCGGGAGCTGCGATGCACGTCTCCGGGCTCCGCGCGGCCGCGTGTGGGGGTCACCACCTCCTGCTCCCCCTGTGACACGGGCCTGGGACCCACGGAGCCCCCTCGGCCGCCAATTCACACAGCACCCCGTCCCAGCTCAAGCCGAGCCTGCGTGTCCGCGCCTGCGCACTGACCCGCTCGCTCCTCGCTCGTCTCTCCGAGCCTCCCCACGCTCCAGGCCCCGACCTAGCCTCGATTTCACAGAGCCTCCAACGCCTCCGGCTCCGAAACGCTCGGTCCGCACTGGGCTGGTTGGCGCCGAGGGGCGGTGAGCGGCGCCGGCACGTTCCGAGGAACTCTGGGAAACGGAGTCTGGCGACTGCGGTGGATTCTGGGACATGTAGTCCTCAGCCTGCCTCCGCGCAGGCGCACAGACCAAGGACAGGGGAGCCGGGACGGGGTCATGAGCGCTGGTGACCTACCTGTCCAGCCTCGAGGACTGAGCTCCCTGTCACTGATCTCGACCTGGTGTGGGATTGCCAGTCCTCATTTCCCAGAGGTCCAACGGTCCTCCTTTCCAAAACCAACCCAAACCCCAGCCAAAAAAAACCAAGAAAACATACCTGGGCAGAGTCTGCAACCCTGATGCAAATCTGACCTGTCAATGAGTCACTTTTCCTTCGTCCTCAAGGTCTCAGGGGTGACGTTCCTCGCCTAGAGTGTGATCGTGCATTCATGAATCCGTGCAAATAAGCCAGTCAATCCAGTGAAGCAACAAGCATGTATCGAGCACCTACTATATACCAGGCACTGTACTGGAATAGGCTGGAATAAGCCTCTGTGGGTATCTGAGACAAAGGCCAAGGATCCGATGTGAAGGCGTGGACAGGATCACTTGGGCACAGCCCCGGGCTTGGCCCTCTTAACCTTGGCCCTAGTGTCCATGTACCCACAGCTTTGCCCTAGCCCATCCTGTGGTCACTGGGTGACTCCTGCTGGGAACTCTGCAGGGTCTTGGGCCCGTCTCTGTTGGGGAATCCTTCTGATACTGGGTCTCTTTGGATGTGTCAAAGATGAGCCCAAGGGCAAACCTTTCAGCTTGAAAGATATGTCTTTTGTGGGGGACAAAGGTCATCCCCTCCCTCCCCAAGCCCAGAGCCCAGGGAAGCTCCCCAGGAGAGACGGGCAGCCCCCAAAAGGCTCAGATATATTTGATAAGCATTTATTAAGTGACTTCTGTGTGCAGATCACGACACTAGGCACTAGGAAAGACTGGAGATCTAGATAAGAAAGGGGCCCATCTTCACGGGGCTTACCTTCCCAGATGGGTTGGTTAGGAGACCCCGATATTTAAAATATCTGTACTCTTCTTACTGCATATTTTACAGAAGTCTGCAGACGAACAGAGAAGGTGGCATGTACATAGACGCACACATGAGGCGTACAGCTATTCCTGATGAAGGAAATGGCACCTGGGTTGGCCCTTACAAGTACTGTGGGAGAAACATCTCCTCGTAGTTCACATAGTAGCGCAAGACTGACAAATAAATCTACCACCACAACGCAATGTGGGAAAATTTTACTGTACTGTTTGAGCCTAGCCTGGCGTGATTGAGAGACCAGGCCTGTTGCTTAGGGATCAGATTTGTTTAGTGCTTACTTAACTCAGGACTCCAGATGATGCTGCCCTCAAAAACCTTCCAGGGGGACCAGATCCAAAGACTGATGTAAGGAGTTTTCTTGTAATGTACATCTCAGGCAACCCACCAGTTGTGTCTAAAAACTTCCACCCTGTTGGCAAATCGGCTTTTGTTTCTTCATTCCTTTGTTTGAAACCTATATAATGTACAACTCAACAGAGACTGGCGAGAGCGGGTGGCTTTTTCAGCAGCCACATTGCCAGACAACTTCTTTCTAAATTTTTTCAGTTGTGCATTTTATTCTCTGCTGACAGCAGAAATTATAGCCATAAAAACAGAAGTTTTATTGTGCTTAAGCACATGTTCAGGGTTCAGAAAAATAACCCTGAACCCGAAGTGGAATTTCCAACAAGTTTTCATAGAGAAAATCAGACAGAGAAAAAAATTATTTTACATATTATAATCTGACAGATTCTTTTTAGGCTATAAAAGTTAAAAAGACAGAGTCACTATCCCATGTTTCCTTCAATGTCATAAAAATTGAACAAACTTAATTAAAAGGAATCATAATTGCATACATTCCCTAAGGAAACAAACCTAGTTAAACAAACTCAATAGGTAAACTAAGTGAGGTTACAGAGGGCTGATTGACAGGGCAGATATGAACATGCTGTGTTGTTCAGTCATGTCTGACTCTTTATGAACCCATTTGGGATTTTCTTGGCAAAGATGCTGGAATGATTTGCCATTTCCTCTTCCAGCTCATTTTACAGATGGGGAAACAGGCAAACAGGGTTAAATGACTTGCCCAGGATCACACAGCTAGTGTCTGAGACCATATTTGAACTAAAGAAGATGCCCAGCCCTCTATCTACTGCACCACCTAGTTGCCCTAATGCCCTTTCCATGCCTTCAGAGTCAGAATTCTCCCACAAATAGCTAAATCACTTTGGGTAAGCTCAAACTCTCCTTATTTGAAGAATGTCAAAAAGTCTTCCCTTAATTCTATCATTCCATGATCCAGGTTTTAGCTAAGGGAGGTTAACATTAACAGGAAACAACTGAATATCTATGAGAGATGGCATGATAAAATGTAATAAAAGGAAAATGAAAGATTTCCATCACAAAAGAAGGGTTGGAATTCAACTGTCAAATGGAAGGAAAGAGAATATTTTTTCATAGATCATGGCTGTAGAGCTGGAAGGGACCTCAAAGGTCATGTAGTATTAACCCCTTCATTCTACGGATAAGGGAACTGGAATCTAAGGAGGTGAAGTTATTTGACTATCAGTGGCAAGATTTGAACCCAGACCCTCTGAGTGCTCTTTTCCACTGTAACACATCACTAATTGTCTACGTTGCCCTTTAGCCCCCAAACTGCCACCTACCAGTAAACACCAAGGACCCACCCTTAGTAAAATGCAGCACTGAAATGACAAACCACAGGTAAACAAAAAGTGTTTAAAAATAATATAAGGATCCCCAATGTAGAAATGGTCAGAGTATATAAACAGGCAGTTCGCAAAGGAAGGAACCCAACCTGTCTACCATCATCTGCAAAAATGGTTCAAGTCACTAACAGAAAAGGAATAGAAATAAGGCAGCTCTGAGATTCTGCCTTCCACCTGTCATAGTAACAACAATAATCCAAAAGGAAGAAGAGGCTAATTGGAAAGGTTGGGTGGGAAAGGTGCACTAATGAATTGCTGGTGAGCTGTGAATTGGTCTCACTGTCCCGGAAAGCAATTTGGACTACACAGTCCCTCATTTGGGCTGATCCTTTGCCCCCAAGCTACCACTAAGAGAGCGCCAGAGCCCAAAGAGCTCAGACAGGAAAGCACCCTGTGCAGCACTTTTGTGGTAGCAAAGAACTAGAAACAAAATGAGTGGAGGGAATGGTTGAATGAATAAATGAGTGAAAAAGCATTTATTAAGCAAATTAAAGGCTAAAGGCTGGGGATGCAAATAAGAAAAGCAAGACAGTCCCATTCAGAAAATGTCGTGTCTTTCCCCCATTTTATTGGCTGGGTGGAAATAGGGGGTCAAGGGAATTGATCCTGCCCAGCAGATTCTATGTAAAGTTAGTATGAGGATTAAGTAAGATAATTGTAAAAGTGCTTAGCACAGTGCCCGGCACATAGTAAGTGCTTTGTAAATGTTAGTTATTATTCATTATTATTATTGTTGCTGTCCAATCCTTTCAGTTGTATCCCACTCTTTGTGATGCCATTTGGGGTTTTCTTGGTAAAGATACTGGAGTGGTTTGCCACTTCCTTCTCCAGCTCATTTTATAGATGAAGAAACTGAGGCAAACAGGGTGAAGTGACCTGCCCAAGGTCACACAGCTAGCACGTGTCTGAGGCCAGATTTGAACTCGGGAAGATGAGTCTTCCTGACCACATGCCTGGCACTCTAGCCATTGTGCCACCTAGCTGCCTCAATTATTATTATTACCAACTTCCAATTCCAACGAATCTTTATAGTGCTGTTGCTTTTGATTTTTGTTTTTGCTTTGCTAAGCTATCACTTTTTAAGTCACTTTATTGTTTAAATAAATCACAAGGCAATCAATAAGTAAATTGTATGTTCAGTTCCTTGTCACCTCTCGCCTGGGCTATTACAATACATCAGATCTGCACGACTTGGCAGTAGGTAGGGACCAAAATTAAAGTGGGCTAAACTTCTTAGGCAGATAGGTTTTCAGTGGATCACTTTCCAAGTAGACAGACTGATGATGGTTGGTGCCACAGGTTACGTGACAAACAGGAGAGCATGTGCAGTGGCAGGCTGCCCAAAATTTTTTGGTGGGCGATATGTTGTGCAGGCCTGCAATACATAGTCTTCTAATTGGCGTCCCTGCCTCGTCTTTCCTCACTTCAATTCATCTTCCTATCTGAAGCCAAGTTGTAAGGCCATGGTTGGGTGAAGACCAGAGGAGTTGACATTTGATACCAGAGGCAATAGGGAGTCACTGGAATTTACTGAATGAGGGTGTGACATGGTCAGACCCATGCTTTACAAAAGTGCTTTCGCAGCAGTATGGAAGATGGGGTGGAAAGGGCCAAACCTTGAAGCAGTGAGAACAAGGAAGCTCTTGAAATAACTGAAGTAAGAAGCCATGAGGGCCTGAC